GTGAGTTAATTTACACTTATATTATCAAAATGCCATTTTGCAAGCACTTTAAACCATTTTGAGTTTTTCTGATATGTTTAAAAGCCTAGAACAAAAGTATGTTTTATATTTAGAGAAAAATGGATTACATGTATTAACAAAAAAAGAACAATCCCCCCAGGCACTCAATTCTTGTAAAACATTTACAGTGGTTCTTTCTCAGTGGCAAGTGGGGTAAAATTTGACCCTTCTGCAGAGTTAAACACATACCCCTTCTTTCAGAATACAAAACGAAGTATTTTCTCCTTCATGATTTTCCCCTAAGCATAAAAAGAGGGTTTAAATAGGAAAGTGAGGAGGATCTTATATAGGAAGTGTTTAGTGTTCAGACTGTAGGGCAATATGATCCTTAATGGCTAGTTTTTAAAAGATAATTTTATTGATTTCAGAGAGGCAGGGAGAGGGAGAGAAAAATAGAAACATCAATGCTGAGAGAGAATCATTGATGGGCTGCCTTCTGTATGTCCCACACTGGGGCTCAAGCCTACAACCTGGCCATGTGCCCCAACTGAAAATCAAACCATGATCTCTTGGTTCAGAGATCAACATTCAACCACTGAACCACTGTGGCCAGGCTTTAATAGCCATTTATAAGCTTCTCACCACAGAAGGACAAAGACCAGGAAAAACTTGAGGGACACAAGGAATCAGACCATATAAGGAATGAAAACTGTCCTGATGACACTTGATTCGCATTCCCATTCCACCAACTCAGCTCCCAGACCCACCGACCACAAAAGCTTCCTGCCAGTGACTGTGCATAAGGATGAAACTCCAGCTCCGGGACCCCATGCCCCCTTGGCTAGGTGCTGTGCAGCCCTTCCCTTTGGGTACCCTATCTCCCAGCCTCTTCTCTTAAATAAAGTCAATTTTCTTAAATCACCATTGAGATGGCTATTTATCCTGCCCGCATACCTCTTCCATTCAGAAAAATAGCAAAGTCTATAAATTAAAAAGGAAAGTGTGGGCATAAAGTATTCAAAAGTACAGAGGGTTCTCTGCACCATTAGTAAAATGCTTTCTTGTGGAATGTTTCCATAACCCCTCACAGGTCCTGCAGGTCTAGACAGGGGTGTATCAGAAGTCTACCCCAGCCCAGAATCAAAGGGCACACTCTGTAGATCTACATAAGTTGCAAAATGTCATGTTACTTTATTCTTTAATACTTCAGAGTGATTTTCCTGGAACTAAAATATTAATTTTCTTATATAAAACCAATGGTTATTAAAATCCAGACATTCACATAGAAAGAATAACATTATCTAATCTCCAGACTTATTCTGATTTTATTAATTGTCCCAATTTTGTGCTTTATTGCTAAAGAAGATCCCAATTAATGTGTTGCACTGACTTGCAATATCTCATTAGCCTCTTTTAATCAGAACATTCCCTCATCTATATTGGCTATCTTGCCATTAATATTGATCAACATATCATTTATATTTTAAAAATTTCCCCCGTTGTGTTTTTCTTCTAATTTCTTGATGTTCAGTTTTGGGTAAGAATTTTTGTGGTAATACTCAGGACTTGCTGTTGGCTCTGCTGTTGGTTCTTTTCATTTCATTATATGAGGAGCCACATGATGCAGACTTGACCCAGTTCTGGAGCTGTTAGCTTTGAGCCCTGGTTTCAGTGGTTTGTGCCAGGTTTAAAATCTATAAAGTTTCAATTTCTCTGTTTGCAATTACAAGTAATTTGTAAGATGACACTATCAGACCACACAAATATCTTTTTACTTCTCAAAATTTCACACCCAAATCTAGCATCCATTGATGGTACTTATTATGACTAGTGGCCCAGTGCACGAAATTCATGCACATTAAAAGGGAATTAATTAGAGGATATATTTTAATATTGCTATTTGCCCTTTCTCTATAATAGAAGTGTCAGAGATTAAAGAAAATTAGTAAAATGTATATGGAAATCTTCCCTGTGTCAGAGTCTGGGACATCCCGCGGGACCCAGAGTTAAGTCCCCACACTCCCACATGCACCTTGAATTTGCGTGAGACCCAGACCCAGATCTGGCCGGCCCCTCCCCCATTGGGTGAGATCCCGACATGGCCAGCACCACCCCCATCAAACCCCACTGGGTGGGGAGTGTTGCCTGAAGTCTCCTATCAAGCACCACTAGGCAGGGAGAGCACCCTCAGGTCCCTGCTGTTGTTCATTATGGCTTGTTATGGGAACCCCACCTCCGCTTTGGGCATAGCCATCTTGTGATGCTGTGATAGAGTGAGGATCAATTTGCATATTACCTCTTTATTATATAGGATAGTTACTAATAGTGATTTTCTAACTCTTTTATTCCTTCACTATTTATAGATTGCATCCTACTAAAACATCTAATAAGTGTTCTCTGTTTCCTTGTATTTATCTATTTTAAAGACTTGCTTCAGCCAACCTGTAAGTCCATCTGGCACATCTCTTCCCACTTCCACATTCAATGACTTCAATGGTTTGAATTAGGTCATGGTGGGAGTATTTACACCATGGTAATTGGCAAACATACAAATGAAAACTATTTCCCCTGGAGAGCTGCTTGTTGACATGTCCCTAGTGGTATGCTGGTGAACATTCAAGGTGTGGGTCCAATTCTTTCAACCCACAGTAACAAAGTCACATGCTGGAGGTGAGTTTCCCAAGGTTTGCATGAAGATGGGTTTACTAGGGAGGGTCTTCAGAAACAGCACCTGTGGGAACTGAGGGAGGAGAATTGGGCTTCCGGGAGAAACTGAACTGCAATGCAGCTGAAACAGGCCTCTGCTGACCCATGGAGAGCCTTGGGACAATGCTCCAAGCCCATCCCAGCTCCACAGTGGAGTGAGGAGAGATGAGCTTCACACCTTCATAGACTAACCATTGAATGCAGGTAGCCCATGGGAAGGGAGCATGCTGAGTGAAGTGATTAACTTCAGCAGAGAGCAGTTCCCAGAGAGCAACTGATGGGTGAGTCATCAGCAGCCCAAACTCACAGCACCTGAGGAAGGAAGCTTTTGTCCAGAAAGATCTGGGTGGTACACTATGGCATCTCCTACTTCCCTGTAGCTAGAGTCTAAAGCAGAGTCTAAAGAGTGCAGAGGGCATGCTACCACCATGTGAGTGAATCCAAGCCAGCCTGCTAGAGGATGACAGAAAGACCAAGCAGCCCAGCTGTCCCAGGCCAGACCATTCTAGACCAGTTGATCCCTACCCTCCCATACATGACAAAGCCCAAAGCCACCTACCCAACCCCAGCTGGCTGGAGTGAGCTCAGTTGAGGCCAGAACCCCCCACCCCCAGCTAAATCCTATAGACTCAGTAGGATCCTATAACTCATGCTTATCTCTTCAAGTCACTGAGCCCTGAGGAATTTTTATACAGCAATAGCTAACTGAGACCAGGTCTGAGATGATCCTGGCTGGATCCTGAGTAGAAGTGAGAGAGAAGGATGCAGCTGTCTAGTTGAACCTTTACAGCCTGCATTTGGAGCTTTTTAGAAAAAGGAATGGACTTGAACCTAAAGGCAATAATTAGCAATGGAAAGTTATGGAGCAAGAGAATATCCCACCCGAAGCCACACTTTTCTGCAATCAGAGGCTGTTCTAATCAAGACTCATGAAAAAGATCAGCCCAGCTCAACCCAGCTAACAATTTAAAAGAGGGGAGAGTAGTTATTTTCAGGATGTGGAACTCACAGAAGCCCATGGACATGAAATCTGGGCCTGCTAAGAGTCAGAAGACTGTCAATAACAGATGGGCTCTCCTGCATCCATTTCATTTCGCTTCAGGGAAGAAACATCTGCACAGCATATGTTTCAAGGGACCTGGCGTATATGGCATACTGTTCTTAATATGTTTGCTCACCTTCTTGGTGCTATGTGTTTTAACCAAGGTCACCTCTCCGAGAAAGGTTGTTTCCCCAGGTAGGGATTTTTCCCTGAAGTTAGGGAGGGAATAAAAACCCTTAACTAAATGCCAGGCAGGTAGTTAATCACATTAACTATGAACAATCACCCTTAAGCTACATAATCTTTACTCCCTGGAATGGAGATAGAAAATGCTCTAACCTTTGGAATAGAAATCGACAGGATTAAAATCAACTGGTATAAATACAGATGTCACAAGAAAATAAAAGACAGAATTTGGCTGGAGATCCTGGCTAGGCTGCTGATCAACTGAACGCTGTCTCCATGTCATTACTTCTTTGTCGACTCCGTCCACACCTTCGGGGACCCCTGGACCTGTTGAGGTTGGACCCCAACAAATCGGGAGGGAGTCTCAAGCTCCCAACTGCTCTGAACTCCAGTTCCGGGCTAGTCTCTGGGGACCCAGACTCATACGGGGAGAAACTGGGCTGACTGGCAGCAAGTGGAACTCGAGGGCGGCTTTCTCTCAGAGGTGCATGCAGGGATTATCAGGACACTGAGACTCAGGGCCTCTTAGGGTAGAACTGAGTGTCAGCCATAGCTGTTTGCCCCACCCTGTTAATCCCTGGAGACCCAGCCCCACCCAAACTGTGGCAGAGGCTTTTGCATATGAAAGGCCTGGCCCTTTGCAATCTGAAAACTACCTAACAAACTGCAGCTGGGTCAGAGAGAAACAGAACTTCCAAAAGAAAGCCCAAGGCCCCACAGCAGCTTACATTGCTTCATAGCTGGGCCTCATCTGGACACCTCCAAACCCCAAACAAAGAAGAGGATTCTACAGATCTCTCCATAGCTCCTGCTGGGTAGCCTCAGGCAGAGGCTAAATTAGCACCTCCTTAGAGATCCAAGAGCCAGTGTACCCAGTGATCAGAGTGGGACCATCCAGATTACAACTCCTCAGATCCATAAGGGACACACTTAGGGGCAGACTCAGTGAGCACTAAAGCCTCAGGAAGCAAGTCTTGCCCCAGAAGGGTGTCTCCAGCACAGAAGTTCTCCCACTGGCGGGGCTGGGGCAGCGCTGAGGAGGCGGTGGTGTGGGGCGCTGGGGCTGATGGTGGTGGCAGGACCCTGGGCGGCCCTGTCCCTGCAGCCGTGCGACAGCAACCCGGCCACCCCTAGGGCACAGTCCCTGAAGGATGACAATGAAGACAATTCAAATGACAGGACCCAGCCATGGAAAAGGAGGTGGATGCGCTCTGGAGACAGCTCCTGGAGCTTCGAGACCTCCAGCCAGGACCTCGGCTTTAGCTACTACCCAGCAGAAAACTTGATCGAGTACAAATGGCCGCCCGATGAGACGGGGGAGTACTGCATGCTTCAGGAGCAGGTCAGCGAGTACCTGGGGGTGACCTCCTTCAAACGGAAGTACCCAGAGTGACGAGATTTGTCTCATAAGGAGAAACTCTACCTGCGAGAGCTGAACGTCATCACGGAGACGCAGTGCACCCTAGGTTTAACAGCATTACGCAGTGATGAAGTGATTGATTTAATGATTAAAGAATATCCAGCAAAATATGCTGAGTATTCAGTTATTCTGCAAGAGAAAGAACGCCAGCGCATCATGGACCACTACAAAGAGTACTCGCAAATGCAGCAGCAGAATAGGCAGAAAGTGAAAGCCAGCAAAGTGCCCGAGTTTATCAGGAAAGCTGCCAAGGAAGCAGCGGAGTTCAACAGCAGCCTGAACCAGAAGCTCATGGAAGAGAGGAGGGCATACTTCGACTTACAGACACACGTCATCCAGGTGTCTCAAGGGAAGTACAAGGTGTTACCAACAGAGTGGACCAAGGTCAGCTCCTACCCCGTGGCCCTCATCCCTGGACAGTTTCAGGAATATTACAAAAGGTACTCGCCGGATGAACTGCGCTACTTGCTATTGAACACGGCTCTTTATGAGCTGCCACTGGATCCCGAGATGACTGCGCTCGACAGCGAGGGCGACTTGGACGATGCCGAGGACAGGCGTGGGGACGAGAAGAGGAGGAACAAGGGCACTTCTCCAAAGGTCATTCCCAATGCTCTATGTGGAGTTTGCCTGAAGGGTAAGGAGTCCAACAAGAAAGGGAAGGCTGAACCTCTTATACACTGCTCCCAGTGTGAGAACAGCGGCCATCCTTCTTGCCTGGATATGACCATGGAGCTTGTTTCTATGATTAAGACCTACCCATGGCAGTGCATGGAATATAAAACTTGCATTGTGTGTGCACAGCCCCACCATGAAGAGGAAATGATGTTCTGTGATGTGTGTGACAGAGGCTACCACACGTTCTGTGTGGGCCTCAGTGCTTTCCCATCAGGTCGCTGGATTTGTGACTGTTGTCAGCGACCTCCCCAACACCCAGGAAAGTGGGCAGAAGGGGGAAAAACAGCAAAGAGGGATAAAATAGTTTCTTGACCCCAATACTGTAATATGCATTTAAGTGAATTATTTGGTGCCAACTTATTTCCAATTCTTATTTTTATGCCAATAAAAGTTTTTGAAATGAAAAAAAAAAAAAAAGAAGTTCTCCCACTGATTCTCACAGCTGATTCCCACAGCCAATTGGCCTGGAGGTCAATTCCTCCCAGTGATACCTACAACAGTCAGGCTTAACTATAAATCTGTGCACAAAGCCCACAAAGGGGAGGACCAAGAGTGTCCACCACAGGTAATTGGGGAGGCTGAGCCACTGGGCCCTATAAAACACCTAGCACAGAAAGCCACTCTAGCAACACAGGGAAGCATAAGAAATGCGGAGACAAAGAAACAGGTCACAAATGACAGAAATAGAGGAAAGCAAATGACTGGATATAGAGTTCAAAACCACACTTTTAAGGCTTTTCAAGAATTTTCTAGAAACCGCTGATAAATTTAGTAAGACCCTCAAAAAGTTTCCTGAGACCGCCGATAAATGTAGTGAGGCCTTCAAGAAATCTAGTAAGACCCTCGAGGTTAAGAAAAAGGACCAACTAGAAATTAAGGATACACTGACTGAAATAAAGGATATTATGCAGAGTTTCAACAGCAGACTAGAGGATCGCAAGAATCAAGTCAAATATTTGAAATACGAAGAAGCAAAAAACACCCAACCGGAAAAACAAAAAGAAAAAAGAATTCAAAAATATGAAGATAGTGTAAGGAGCCTCTGAGACAATTTCAAGCGCACCAACATCCGAATTATGAGGGTGCCAGGAGAAGAGAGAGAGCAAGATATTGAAAACCTACTTGAAGAAATATTGACAGAAAACTTCTCCTACCTGCTGAAAGAAATACACTTACAAGTCCAGGAAGCGCAGAGAACCCCAAACAAAAGGAATCCAAAGAGGACCACACCAACACACATCATAATTAAAATGCCAAGAGCAAAAGACAAAGAGAAAATCTTAAAAGCAGCAAGAGAAAAAAAGTCAGTTAGCTACAAGGGAGTACCCATACAATTATCAGCAGATTTCTCAACAGAAACTATGCAGGACAGAAGGGAGTGGCAAGAAATATTCAAAGTGATGAATAGCAAGAACCTACAACCAAGATTACCCAACAAAGCTATCATTCAGAATTGAAGGTCAGATAAAGAGCTTCACAGATAAGAAAAGGCTAAAGGAGTTCATCACCACCAAACCAGTATTATATGAAATGCTGAAAGGAATCCTTTAAGAAGAGGAAGAAGAAGAAAAAAGTAAAGATACAAATTATGAACAACAAATACACATCTATCAATAAGTGAATATAAAAATCAAGTGAATAAATAATCTGATGAACAGAATAAACTGGTGAATATAATAGAATCAGGGGCAGAGAAAGGGAGTGGACTGACTATTCTTGGGGGAGAAAGGGGTGAGGGGGGTGCATGAAGAGACTGGACAAAAATCGTACACCTATGGATGAGGACATGGGCGGGGGTAAGGGCAGAGGGTGGGGTAGGAACCAGGTGGAGGGGAGCTATGGGGGGAAAAAAGAGGAACAACTGTAATAATCTGAACAAAAAAGTTTTAAGTTAAAAAAAAAAAACAAAAACAAGACATTTGGAAAGAAAATGTACAACTTTTTAATTAAGATTATTTCCCACTGACCTAAACTTTGAGTGTTTTAATAAAGAAATGTTCTACCCCATGATCCTCTGAATTCCTGATAATGTATAAACATGTTATCTTTTTATGATCAGAAAAGTACCTTGGGTTTAAATGTACAGAAAGAGAATCTTATGGCAAATGACATTAAACTAAGTTTTAAAGTTAAGGAATAAAGAAAAGAAATAATTATTTTCCCTCCGAACTACCTTGTTGACTTTAAAAAAATTGAGAGGTGTTATTTATTGCTAAGATCATATTTAGTCTTATCCTCAAAGATGACACTTCCCCCAGAGCTTTGTGACCTGATTGAATGGCAAACCTTTTGAAACATTTTCAAAAGTATTAAAAAATCAGAAAAGGTTACTTTCTTTTTTGAATGTGTTGAGTTTATTAAGCTTTTCTTTATAACAGCACATACAGTGAATAAGAATGCTTAATGATGTTAATTTGCATTGATAATATTTTATTTCCAAAGTGCTTTAATCACTAACTCATCTACCCTGTAATTCTGGGAAATGACTTTAAAAGATATTTTAAATGAACAACACCTGGTCATTCTTTGTATGTTAAGGCACGTTTAGGAAAGAGCCAACTATGATGATGATCTGAAAAAAAAAAAATCATAAGTTGAAATCCTATTGCCCCAGCCAATGGGATTAGGAGCTGGAGCTTTGGGAGGGGATTAGGTCCTGGGGGTGGAGTCCTCATGATGAGATTTGTCCCCTTATAAAGGAGGCCTGAGAGCTGCTTGCCACATTCCCAAGTGAGAATACAAGAAGTCAGAAGTCTGCAATTGGAAGAGGGCCTGCACCGACCATACAGCTAATAATTAAAAATATGGGCCTGTGGCGGGGCGCGAGGTTTCAAGATGGCAGTTGTTGTATAACTGACCCGGAGCCGCGGTGAAGGCCCCTATGAAGGGAAAGAGGCCGAGAATCCCACCCCCCCCGCCCCCCCTGTATCTCACAGTCCCAGAGCCCAGCAGAAGCATTTGGACATTCTTATGTTGATCCTGGTAGCTTTGGTGGTTTTTTTTTTGTTTTGTTTTGTTCTTTGGTTTTTTTTTAATAAACAAGTGAACCATACAGATTGTCAACATGGGACGAAGATCCACAACATCCACCAAGGGTGGAAAATTTATGAACCCCACAGACCAAGCCCGAAAAGAAGCCCGGAAGAGAGAATTAAAGAAGAACAAAAAACAGCGCATGATGGTATGAGCTGCAGTTTTGAAGATGAAGGATCCCAAACAAATTACCCGGGACATGGAGAGATTGGATGAAATGGAGTTTAACCCAGTGCAACAGCCACAATTAAATGAGAAGGTGCTGAAAGACAAGCGTAAAAAGCTGCGTGAGACCTTTGAACGTATTCTACGACTCTATGACAAAGAGAATCCAGAAATTTACAAAGAATTGAGAAAGCTAGAAGTAGAATGTGAACAGAAAAGGGCTCAACTTAGCCAATATTTTGATGCTGTGAAGAATGCTCAGCATGTGGAAGTGGATAGTATCCCTTTGCCAGATATGCCTCATGCTCCTTCCAACGTCTTGATCCAGGACATTCCACTTCCTGGTGCCCAACCACCCTCCATCCTTAAGAAGACCTCAGCCTATGGACCTCCAACTAGGGCAGTATCTATTCTTCCTCTTCTTGGGCATGGTGTTCCACGTTTGCCCCCTGGTAGAAAACCTCCGGGTCCACCCCCTGGTCCACGTCCTCCTCAAGTCTTGCAAATGTATGGCCGCCATAAAGTGGGCTTTGCCCTGGATCTTCCCCCTCGCGGACGAGATGAAGACATGTTATGTAGTCCTAAACTTGCTCAACGGGACCATGATGATGATGTTTCCAGCACCAGTGGAGATGATGGCTATCCTGAGGACATGGATCAAGATAAGCATGATGACAGCGACACTGACAGATCAGATGGAGAAAGTGACGGAGATGAATTTGTGCACCGTGATGATAATGAAAGAAATAACAATGAAGAAAAAAAGTCAGGTCTGAGTGTACGATTTGCAGATATGCCTGGGAAATCCAGGAAGAAGAAGAAGAACATTAAGGAGCTAACTCCTCTTCAAGCCATGATGCTTCGAATAGCAGGTCAGGAAATCCCCGAGGAGGGACAAGAAGTTGAGGAATTTTCAGCGGACAATGATGAAGGTGATTATGAAGATTCTGAAGCAGAAAAGCAGTTACAAAAGCAGCATAAAGAGGAATCTCTTTCTGATGGCACATCTGCTTCTTCACAGCAGCAAGCTCCCCCTCACTCTGTTCCCCCTTCTCAGATACAAGAACCTCCCATGCCAGAACCACCTCCTCTTGGACCACCTCCTGCTCCAAGTTTACGGCCACCTGGACCACCTACAGGCCTTCCTCCTGGACCACCTCCAGGAGCTCCTCCATTCCTGAGACCACCCAGAATGCCAGGACTCCGAGGGCCTTTACCCCGACTTTTACCTCCAGGACCACCACCAGGCTGACCCCCTGGCCCTCCTCCACGTCTTCCTCCAGGTCTGCTTCCTGGTCCTCCTCCTCGGGGACCCCCACCAAGGCTACCTCCCCCTGCACCTCCAGGTATCCCTCAACCTCGTCCAGGCATGATGCACCCACCTTTGGTGCTTCCACTCGGACCTGCCCCACCTGGGATTTTCCCACCGGCTCCCTTGCCAAACCCAGGAGTGTTAAGTGCTCCACCCAACTTGATCCAGCGACCCAAGGCGGATGGCACCAGTGCAGCCACCATTGAGAAGAAAGCCACAGCAACCATCAGTGCCAAGCCACAAATCACTAATCCCAAGGCAGAGATTACTCTATTCGTGCCCACCGCACTGAGGGTCCGTCGGGAGAATAAAGGGGCTACTGCTGCTCCACAGAGAAAGTCGAAGGATGATTCTACTGTGCCTCTTGCCAAAGCAGCCCCCAAATCTGGTCCAACTGTTCCCATCTCAGTACAAACTAAGGATGATGCATATGAAGCTTTTATGAAAGAAATGGAAGGGCTGCTGTGACACACTTCTGTTCATATCACTGGTTCGTGGGAAAAGAGGCTCTTAGGAAACTTAGGCAAAAGAGCTACTTTTATTGTCAGGGTATTTTCTAATTTCAGTTGAAGGAATATCTTAAAGTTTAGCCTGTTTGGAATTCACTGCATACAAGAAAGGGTATTTCACTCAGGCTCGGTTGGTTACTGAAGCAGTTCTGCTGCAAACGTCCATTTCCTTTCATACCACCACTTCCGTCTCATTTTTTCCCCTCCAATCCTCTGGAACTTGTGATCTGGGGCATATTTGTTTTTGATTCTCCTGTGTGCTATGGGCTCTGGAGTAGAGATTTTTTGGGGGAAGGAAGCAGTTTCTTTTGCTCTATCTTGCCTTTTGTGTTTTAATATTTTCTTGTAAACATTTTGTAATATTGTAGTGAAATGGATCACAACGTCATTTCCTAATACAAAGCAAGACATGTGGGAGCACTCTGATGTAGGGAACTGCAATGCAGAAAGTAAGTACCGGGAGAACCAAGATGGCGGCATAGGTAAACACTGGAAATTGCTGCCTCGCACAACTACTTCAAAAATACAACTAAAAGACAAAACGGACATCATCCAGAACCACAGGAAGGCTGCCTGAAGCCGGTCCATCCTTGCTGCTTGACACAGTCACTGCAGGGAAGAAACATCTGCACAGCATGTTTCAAGGGACCTGGCGTATATGGCATACTGTTCTTAATATGTTTGCTCACCTTCTTGGCGCTATGTGTTTTAACCAAGGTTGTTTCCCCAGGTAGGGATTTTTCCCTGAAGTTAGGGAGGGAATAAAAACCCTTAACTAAATGCCAGGCGGGTAGTTAATCACTTTAATTATGAACAATCACCCTTAACCTACATAAGAAAGCCCAAGGCCCCGCAGCAGCTTACATTGCTTCACAGCTGGGCCTCATCTGGACACCTCCAAACCCCAAACAAAGAAGAGGATTCTACAGAACTCTCCATAGCTCCTGCTGGGTAGCCTCAGGCAGAGGCTAAATTAGCACCTCCTTAGAGATCCAAGAGCCAGTGTACCCAGTGATCAGAGTGGGACCATCCAGATTACAACTCCTCAGATCCATAAGGGACACACTTAGGGGGCAGACTCAGTGAGCACTAAAGCCTCAGGAAGCAAGTCTTGCCCCAGAAGGGTGTCTCCAGCACAGAAGTTCTCCCACTGGCGGGGCTGGGGCGGTGGCGGCGGCAGCTGGGCTGAGGCAGCGGGGGTGGAGAAGGCGGCAGTGCGGGGTGCTGGGGCTGATGCCATCATTTATTTCTGTGCTCAAATTGTCCCATATGTAGCTAGGGGATGCACATTCGCACATACCCTTATGATTCTTTGAGAACTTCCTTACCTTCTGGTGCAAGACTTTCTAGTCTCATCTTGCATTTTCCTTGTTTCCTGTGACAAATCAGCCATTTCTTGAAGAAAAGGGTCGTTTTTGTTATATTACCTCCCTTTTATGTAATATTATCTAGTTTCATCCAAGTCTTTTAGCCAGTCTTACATTTACAAGCACATAGGATAGTAGAGAAAAAGAGAACTTGGGAGATTAACTATGAACTCCTCAAACTATCTAGAGGCAGAAATTGCATCCTAGGAGGGAAGTGGTATAAATTTCTCAGCACTGCAGGGAGAAGCTCTTAGTGCTTAGATTCCCTTCCGCCAGGGCTGGCATATTTTCACTCTCTAAAGGGATTTCACTTTCACACAGAAAAGGGGTCTAGTGTCAGATTTTAAATATAGTTCCCAGCTTTCTTTCTAACAAGACTTGGTATTTCAAAAAAGAGGGGAGGGGCTCATTTTAAATCAGTACAAAATTCATTTTATCTTTGAGAATTAGATAACTCAATGATGTTGAAATAAGAACATCAAATTTAATGGCATTCACTTATCTAATAAAAACTGTATTGAACCATATTATATCAGCCACAACAAGATGTAAATGCATATTTTTAAAGGACTTGTTTTGAAGAAGTAAGTTGCCAGGGCACAAAATTTGATATTCTATGATGCTGAGGAGTGAAACGGACAGTGAATGATCACAATGCTTAAACTTAGTAGCTAATCTTTCTATTAAGTGATAACATTGGTGAAAATAATAGAAACACAGCAGTGAATTACTAGGGCAATATATTGGCAAAACCAAACAAGTTGTGGGCTTTCATAGGAAAGATCAGGTTTGGGTCTGAATTGGAATCTCAGTCTATCTTTCAATAGCTGCTTCATTTGGGCATAAAGTGAATCTAAGCCATATTTTCCTCACTTACAGAATAAGCATGAGCCATACCTCACAACACACTGTCAGAGGCATCCTGATAAGGAAATCTTTTCTTGTTTGCTAGAGGAATAGTTTCAATGAGACAGAGTGGGAATAAAGAAACAAAAACTTAGACTTAAACAAATACTTGAAGATGAAGTTTTATAGAAGTCAAATGATGGCTCCAATTTATGTAGCCCCCAGCACATTTAGATGTGGTAACCTTTATTTTGTAGAAAATATAAATATTATGAAAAATTTTACTTAAATGTGGTTACATGGTAAAATATGTGTTAGTGCTGACCTTATTATTTTTATTTAAATTTTTACACTGAGTCTTGATAATATTATATGACCTTATAGTAGAATTGCATCCACCATGATATATCTTTGATTATAATGAGGATCAGTTCAAGAAAACCATTTGAGAATTTGAAAGACTGGTAATATTACAAATTTGGGCAGGCATAGAATCTATCAATATTATTGATAGAAATAGGTATAAAATATTTCATCCATTAATTTAATCATATGCCCACTGTGTTCCAATAATTATGCCAGGAACTAGGGATACAAAAAATGAATAAATAAAATCTTTGAGCAACCTTTTTGAGAAAAGTTAGGACTATCTCCTAAAATCAGAAATAACATATCTTTAAATAATAAAATTCTCTTGATAGAATTTAAGAAAACAATCTCCAGATAATTGTAGAAAAAAATCCAGCATAGTATTATTTCTAATAGAAAATAAAATTAAATACCTTTAATGTTTACTGACAGTAGTGGATGGTTTAATTACTTTATGCTACAACTATAATGACAAAATATTCTATAGAAGTTGATAAGAATTAGGTAGGTTTTATTAAAGAAAGAAAATATTACCTGTATATTATTATCCTATAATGCAAATAGGTGTGTGTGCCTCCTATGTGTGTATTTATTTATCTAAAAATAATTCCTGATTTACTAAGGGAAATAAATCCATGGTCCAAGTAAGAAGAAAGACATTTTCTAATCACAACTTTCACTATCATTTGTAGTTTTTAACACACATGTGCATTAGTATTATTTCAAAAATAAATGAATAAAGATAAGGATGAACAGTCCATGATTTAAAACACTGCTGTTACTTCACCATATGCTTTCCTTATTTGAAGTTCGATGAGCATTCTTTTCACACTCTGAATGAGCTAACACATGGGAACAGAACTGCTCCTGTGCCTTCCTCTGTTGAAATAATCCATTCACATGAGAAGAAACCCATCCCACAAGGCTGAAAACAATGATGGGCTCCTCAAAGACACTGGTCATGAAGGACTAGAGGTGAGGGTAGATAGAGGCAAACTGGAGGCTAACTTAATGTCCTCCATTGACCAATCTCCTATAACTGCCAGGGGTCTCTTCCCAGACCTGTGTCCATCCACACACTTTACCTTTCCTCCTTTCCAATCAACATTTTCTGAGTTATATTTGTGTGTCAGAAGGAAGAAAGTGTAAAATATTTGACTCCATGCAATTCTTTTTGTTTTAAAACTTAACTCAGAAATTTAGATACAAATACATAATTAAGCCGTTGGCAGAATAAAAGCAGGGTTAATATCTTTCAAATACATAAGGGAATGAAGGGAGATATGATCAATGAAGCCAGAGAAGAAAATTTGCAAGAAAACATAATAAATAGAGAACATAGGAAAAGAAGAAACAACACTGACTTATGAATTTTTCAATTCATAAGATACATATGTGTACATATGTGATCTTGTAAAATTTTAGCTCAATCTCTTTTATGATTGTAGATGTAAATTTTTGAAATAAAATATTATCAATTCTATTCTAGCATGTCATGATCAATTACAATATCATATGGGAATGTAATTTCCTTTTGAAAAAACATGAAATTTATTAATGTAACCCATGATGTTAATATATTCAAGAAGAAAACTAAGCTGGATAAGGATCTCAATCCTTGTCCCTCTCTCAAGGGACAGCTACTGCAGCCAAGCAGGATGCTGCTGTGTATGGCAGAACCATGGCCATTCCTACTAAGGCGTTCTGCTAAGGAAGTGACCCACAAGACAGACTCGCCTTTCACAGGACATTCAAACACTTCCTGTGGGAGGTGGCTGTTGTCTCTGGTTGAACATCACATCTAGACTGAAGCTTCAAACTGTCCTAAGATTTAAGGCCAGTTTTTATAGTCTTAATAAAACAGGAATAGCTAAGACAGTCTTTAGAAAATGAAGCAGATATATTTACTAAAAGCGAAATGGTAGAACCAATTGCTTTAAAGTCAGAAACCAAAAAATAAATAAATAAAATAAGCTGGCCTTGCCAATATTATTCATCATTGAAAGTTCATGTCTCTGACAGCATAAATAATAGGAAAACAAGGAGAAATAACTCTTAATAGTAGTGGAATAATTGTCTCCCTGACAAGTCAGAGACATATAAGTATTAGAAATAAAGATGTAATTGCATGATGGGCAAATGTGTGTCTTTGTATCATCTAAGGGGACAGTACCCAAATATAACCACAGATATATCAGGGCTGGGTCTCTATCAGCAGTAAGTCATAAAAAATGCAAGTCCCCGGCTGTAATATAAATTTCATATGAGGAAGCAAACAATAATTTTGAAGAACTGTAAGACAAATATAAATTACTAAGAACATAAAGAAAATTAGAAAAAATGGGGAAGCATTCTGTGTTTTTGGATTCTCTCCTAA